CGAAGTATCACCTTGTTCTGTTCAAACTACTGCCTCTTGGTCTGTGTACAAGTTCCTCGTGAGCACAGTTAAGTGTTCTGGAATTCCCTTCTTCAAGTAAAATTTTGCTGAAGATAATTTAAAAATGGTTGCAGCAGTACACTGACAGAGAACTGCCAGAAATTCAAGCTGGATTCAGAAGAGGATGTGGTATGAGGGATATCATTGCAGATGTCAGATGGATCCTGGCTGAAAGCAGAGAATACCAGAAAGATGTTTACCTGTGTTTTATTGACTACGCAAAGGCATTCGACCGTGTGGATCATAACAAATTACAGATAACATTGTGAAGAAGGGAATTCCAGAACACTTAACTGTGCTCACGAGGAACTTGTACACAGACCAAGAGGCAGTAGTTTGAACAGAACAAGGTGATACTTCGTGGTTTAAAGTCAGGAAAGGTGTGCGTCAGGGTTGTATCATTTCACCATACTTCTTCAGTCTGTATGCGGAGCAAATAATCTAAGAAGCTGGACTATATGAAGAAGAACGAGGCATCAGGATTGGAGGAAGACTCATTAACAACCTGTGATATGCAGATGACATAACCTTGCTTGCTGAAAGTGAAGAGGACTTGAAGCACTTACTGTTGAAGATCAAAGACCGCAGCCTTCAGTATGGATCACACCTCAACATAAAGAAAACAAAAATCCTCACAACTGGACCTATAAGCAACATCATGATAAACAGGCAGGGTTTCGTTTTGTTCTACATAGGGTTGCTATGAGTGGGAAGTGTCTCGAAGGAACCTAAAAGCAACAACATATGCATGTGAAAGCTGGGCAATGAATAAGGAAGACCAAAGAAGAATTGAGGCCTTTGAATTATGATGTTGGTGAAGAATATTGAATATACCGTGGACTGCCAGAAGAATGACCAAATCTGTCTTGGAAGAAGTACTACCAGAATGCATCTTAGAAGTGAGGATGGTGAGACTTTGTCTCATGTACTTTGGACATGCTATCAGGAGGGACCAGTCCCTGGAGAACGACATCATGCTAGGTAAAGTAGAGGGTCAGCTGAAAAGAGGAAGACCCTCAATGAGATGGACTGACACAGTGCCTGCAACAATAGGCTCAAACATTGCAACAACTGTGAGGATGGAGCAGGACTGAGCAGTACCTCATTCTGTTGTACACAGGGTCGCTATGAGTCGGGACACCAACTCTATGACACCTAACAATAACAACAACAACAAATTGTCGCTTTCCTCATTTCCACTCTACCAGTCCAGGTCAAACTACCACCATGACTTGCCTGCACTATTGCAATGGTTTTCTAGACTGTCAGCTCACTGAGGACAGGATTTGTGTTTGTTTTGCCATTGTGTCTGCACCATCTAGGCAAAAGTCATCACACATACCATAGCTCAAAAAATACTATTAAAATAATGTTGTCTGTATGATCTCCCTGCATCCACTTCCCTCACACATCCATTCTCCACACAGAAGTTAGAAGATTGTTTTTAAAATTTCATTATGCTGTTTCTTTGCTTAAATGTCTTCTCTTTGCTCGTTTGATAAATTACAAACCCTCTCCTTGTTTCTAAGGCTCTGGCTGTTTTTTTGCACTTCACCTACCTCTCCAAGTTCATTCCACACCTCCCCCCACCCCACAGTTGCTCCCTGTGCATGGTGAGTGCCACTATGTGATTTTAGAGAGTGAGCTGTGGTCTCAAGAGACACAAACAGGAAAACTTGATAGATTAAGAGATGTTCTGTGGATAAGTAGAGATCTGGTTGTTCACATGCTTGCAGTTGATGTCAGGATAGGGGCAGAGAGGGAGGTGGTCCAACAGGCTTTAGGACATATAAAATATTGTCCTAGAAAGGAGATGGAAAGTTGTCCTTGCCCAATGGCAGGGACACATTGTTGGTAGTGGTGTGGTGGTGGTGGTGGGGATAGTGTGATTGTAAAACAAATCAAGAATCAACGTTTCTTGCTCCTTCAGATGGAGGGCTGGGATTAAATCATAAACGGAGCTAAGGCGTACAATGTTGGTGAAGGAAAGAAGTAGATGGGTACAACCCTAGACAGGATAGCATTAAGCTGAGGGAACTTCAGTTGTTAGGACTTGAATTGAAAGTACATGTGGAAAGGAGGTGAAACTCACAGGTTTACCTTTTTCATTTACAAAACAGAACATGCCATTTATTCATTTGAGGAGTCATTACAGTTAACCTGATATTATTTTCTCTTGAGACCTCCCGGGCTGGTACTTGGTAATTGTGGTCTCAGGCTGTGAGCTAGTGAGCCTGAGAGCCAACTTCCCAGGATGTCTTAAGTTGTATTCAGGAGTTCTCTTATAAGAAGATTATACTTTAATGAAAACTGTGTTATAATTTTCCGTTAGCAACATGATAAAACAAGTGTCCTGATGCTGAAATCAAACATAGAGTGTCAGGCAGTTGTAGAGAAGAAGGCCATGCTCTGATTCTTTCTATTTCTGTTCTTTGTGTGAAGGTTGGGGCGGTGTGGTCTTACCCGTCACTGTTGCCTGGACATCTCCTCAGTCCTGAGCAGCAACCAGAAGCTGGTGGAACTGGATCTGAGTGACAATGCCCTGGGAGACTCTGGGGTCAGACATTTGTGTGTGGGACTGCGGCATTTATTCTGCAATCTGCGGAAGCTCTGGTGAGTCTGAACTAATTTCCCTTATGAAGGGTAAGACTGCAGCTTTCATGAAGCACAAGGGGCTAGAGTTTTAGTGTGAGAATTGCTCTGGCTGATAGAGGACTTCCTGTGTTTATCTCTGAGTGTTTGTTTGTTAGTGTTTGTTATGAGAAAAGCCTCATACTAAGCCCTGGAGAAAAACGTATGCCATAAAAGTAATGACGCCTGCCTTTAAAGTACTTAACTGCCTAGCTGAGAAAATAAAACTAGTATAACGCATGATTGTAGAAGAATTTTAGAACTTCATAACAAATGCAACCCTCAGTCCCCACCCCAATAGGAAACATTGGGCTAAAGCAATGTAGACACTTAATATTCTATGGAGCCCTTCACTGAACACTTCTGGGAGATGTGAATTTTTAAGCAAAGAAGATGCTTAAAAATGGCAGGAGCAGTGTAAGTTTAGGATGGACTTGGAAGGATCTTACTTGCTATTATATTAAAAAAAAAATAAAAATAAAAATAAAAACTTAATATAGAGCTTGGATTCACTCCCGTCTCATGTATGGACTAGACTAGAGACAGAAGCAGGTACGAGCCTCTCTAGCCCAAGGCGGTAACTGGGGAGAGAGACGTGATTGTGACACTCTGCTATCTCTGTGGAAGGCTGGTCAGCTGCTGTCTCACATCAGATTGCTGTCAGGATCTTGCATCAGTCCTGACCACCAACCAGTCCCTGACCAGACTCTACATGGGGGAAAATGCCCTGGGAGACGCAGGAGTTGGAATTTTGTGTGAAAAAGCAAAGCATCCACAATGTAAGCTGCAGAAATTGGGGTAAGTCTTCTTGGGCATCTTAGCAGAAGGACAACTTCTCTCCAGTTATTTGGAAAATATGGATGAAAGTTACTTCTAATCAGATGGAGTTGAGGGTAGGTAAGCGAAGACACACTGTCTGAAGTGGTTTGAAGCACTATATACATGTAATATACTGTTAATAAGACATTTTGAGGTCCCTGGGTGGTGCAAACAGTTAACAAGCTTGGGTGCTAACCAAAAGGTTGGAAGTTTGAGTCCATTCAAAGGCTCCTCAGAAGAAAAGCCTAGTGATCTATTTCTGAAAAATCAGCCACTGAAAATTCTATGGAGCCCAGTTCTACTCCGACACACATGGGATTACCATGATTCGGAGTTAACTCGACAGAAACTGTTGGTCATAGAATAAGATATTTAGGATTACAGAATGAGAGATTCTTAAATTGGAAGAAACCTTAGAAGTTGTGCAGCTCAACTGAATGAAGATGAATGAATGAATGAAAGACTTCCTTCTAAGACATTCTTGTGGATAGTCACTACTTTTCTGTGTGAACACTTCCAAGCATGCATGTCATTGCTGTTCAGTGTGGCCTCTACAGTAGGATAGAGCTTTAACTAGGGGAGAGTTCTTACACTTAGGTAGCACCCCATCTTCATTCTGTACATCAGTCCTTGTTCTGCTCCCTGGAGCTTCACTGGGTGACTCAGGTCTCAGTTCCATAGACACAACACTTACACCCTGGGCCTTCTTATCTCTTGTCTAAGGGCCTCTAAGTCCTCAGTATTGTGTGGATTAGCACCTTCACCAATTTATTCATGGTCTCCTAGATTACAGCTGGTTTGTTAATGTTCTTTAAAATGTAGTGCCCAGAACTGAACCTAGTACTCTTGAACATGCATGGTGGAACCTTTACTTTCTTTGGCAGGACACTATACTGTTACTGGCAGAGCCTATGGTTTCTATATGTTTTTAGCAGTTACATCAGTTTCTCAGTTCCTGTTGGATGTTTTTGTTTTTGTTAGTTGCCACTGAGTTGGCTCCGACTTTTGATGACCTTATGTATAATAGAACAAAACATTGCTTGTTCCTGTGTCATATTCATGATCATTGATATGTTTGAGCCCATTGTTGAGGCTATTGTGTCAATCCCTCTCATTGAGGGTTTCCCTCATTTTCACTGACCCTCTGCATCACCAAACATGATGTCCTTTTCTAGTGATTGGTCTTTCTTGATGATGTGTCCAAAGTAACTGAGCTGAAGTCTCGCCATCCTCGCTTCTATGGAACATTCCGGTTGTGTTTCTTCTAACACTGATTTATTTGTTCTTCTGGAAGTCCATAATATAGTCAGTATTCTACACAAACATCACTGGGTCAAATGCACCTTGGTTATCAGAGTGACATCTTTGCTTCTTAAAACTTTAAAGAGGTCTTTTGCAGCAGATTTGCCCAAAGCAATAAGTCACTTGATTTCTTCACTGCTGCTTCCACGGACATTGATTGTTGATCCCATTATAATGAAATAATTGACAACTTCAATTTCTTCTTCATTTATAATTAATAAATAATAATAATAAGTACCTACTACTAATAACACACTTAATATGTATCACACATGTTCCATGTTCTTTATATAGGTTATCTCAGTTGGCCTCATAAAAGCCCCGCAAAGTAGATATGTGTTCCCAATTTACAGAGGAGGAAAAAACAAAAAACAAAAAACTAAGGGAGCTTAAAACCTTTGCCCAAGAACACCCAGATGCAGACATAGCCCTGTGTGACCCCATTGGCCACTCCTTTAGTGCCGTCTGACTTATTGCTAGTGGACCCTATCGAGGCCTTCTCCATCTGGTTCTCTTCTCTCCAAGGGTGGGACCTCACATTCAGTGCTATTAAATTTCATCTTACCTTTTCTTTTAACCCATAGTCTAGGTATTTGAATCTTGATTCTGTCAGTTTTATCTCTGAATACAAAAAGCAAACTGCATATGTCTTCATTCATATTATTGATGTAAGTATCAACCAGACCAGAATTAAAGATAAAATATGCCAGAAAGGGTATTTCCTGAGGAATAATCTATTACTCCGTAATTAACAGTCTTTATATGTTCAAAAAGCTTTGACACTTCCTTGGACTTGTCCCATCAGCTATCTCCAGATATCACCATATCTCTTACCATAGACAAGTTTCTAGAAAAAATCTGTATTCAATGCCTCAATTTCCTCATCTTCTATTATTACTCTCCCTCAGCAAGTTGACTTCTGCTGCACTTGGTATGTTCAAAAGATATGAATTTGCCCCATTATTTGCTAGGCTGCACTGTTTGCCAGAGGGTCTGTTGTGGGTACCGATGGGAGCAGTGAGTAAAACAGACCTAGACACTGTTTTCAGCAACATTCTTACCTGGAGTGACAGACAACAGACAAGCAAACAAACATGCAAATATAGTTTATGAGAAAAGCCAGAGTGACAGTGCAAGCTGCTACATTGGCCAGGTGCTCGGAGAACGCCTCTTGAGCAGGTGACACTTCAGCAGGTACTAAGTGAAGTGAGGGCCTGCACCATGAAGGAGCTCAGGGAAAAGCACTCTAGGCAGAGGGAACAGAAGTGAAGAAGCCCAGGTCATAGACTCTCTCAGTTGACCCTCTTTTCCCAGGGTGCTCAGTGATTCTGGTTCAACTCCTGTAGATCCTTCTCAGTCCTTACCTTGGATGATATCTGTTGCCTCTAATTCTGCTCATCACCTCCTCCTTGAAACCCTTTTCCTCTCTTTTCACTCAGTCTTTCCTCCTAATTTTTTAACTTCCTCTTCTCTGGATCCTATGTTGGCATCTCTTGCTGTGGTCTGAGGATTTCACCAATGGCCTCCTTGTTTTCTAAATGTTTCTACAATCCCTTGAATTTCACATACGCTGCTTAGCTTCAGCAAAAACTCAGACCTGCTAGATTTTTATTACAAGAGTAATACATGCTCAGTGAAAGAATATCAAATAATACAGATGTATGAAGTATAAAGTGAAAACAACTTCTAACTCCACTTCTGAGAGAACCATTTTAAACAGTTTGATGAGCAAACTTTAAGACATTTGGTTACGCATGAACATCCATTCATACATCTGTCTGTCTGTCCATCCACTCATCTGTCTTCATACACTCACTCTACTTATCAAACATGGAATCATAGCATACTTTCCTATGGTTTGCTCTTTGAATTTATCATAGATAAATTTCCATGCTGCTATATATAGATTTGTATTGTATATACCATAATTTATTTAACCACTCATCAAATGATGAGCTTTTGAGTAGGTTTCTACTTTTTCACCATTACAAAAAATGGTGCAATGAGAATCCTTGTTTATACTACTTTATGCATGTGTGAGCATTTCTTTAGGAAGGGTACCTATAAGTGGAATTAGTGAGTTGAAGCTTTTAGGCATTTTATATTTTGTTAGATATAGCCAAATTTTCTTTTCTTGAACTTGAGACCCTTTTCTCTGGCTGCATATTGTACTTGCTTCTCCTTTCCCTGAATATTACACAAGTGTCACAAATGAAGCGTTTCCAGTGTTGCTTTAATTCTTGTAACCTACTCAGTCACCCCCATCCTTTGACGTGCTCCGGCCCTCTCCTTCCTGCCTTGTTCAATAGTGGGACTTTCCAGCAGGCTTCCCGGTAGTAACCAGAGGGCAACTCTACATTCCTTATTCTCTTTACTTTCAGTTCCCCCCTCCTCTCACACTTCATTTACATAACACCAATGGAATCTCTCTAAACTGCAAATCTGATAATATTGAGCCTTTGCTCTAAAACTTTCCAAAGTTCTTCTTTGAAGTCAGAGTAAAGTTGACATACCTTACCTCAGCACACAAGGGTCTCCCTGACCCAGATCCAGATTGCTGCGCCTGCCCTTGCTCCTACCACACCCTCCACCCCATTTTGAGTCATCTTGAATTAGTCTTTATTTATAAGAACCCAGTCTGCTCTTGTACCCTTTGTCACCTCTCTTCACCATATGCCCAATCTTTGACCTTGAGAAAAAGACATGATTTCATGAACCTCAGATTTCTAATCTGTAACAGGTACATGATAGTTATAACTGTATGGCCTAACTTGCCAGACTGAAGTAAGAATCAAATAAGACACGACTCTGCAATGTTAGGGGTATTACTGCTTATGGTAACCTGGGGTATCTTTCTGGAAGAAATCATTGTGAAGGTAGCTGTGCTGTCAGGGAAGACTGGATAATGAGGGCTCTTCTGTTTGACCCTTTTGACAGATTGGTGAATTCTGGCCTTACGTCAGTTTGTTGTCCAGCTCTGTCCTTGGCACTCAGCACTAACCAGAATCTCACGCACCTTTACCTAAGGGGCAATGCTCTTGCAGACAAAGGGATCAAGATGCTCTGTGAGGGACTCATGAACCCCAACTGCAAGCTTCAGATGTTGGAGTAAGTTCCTTGGCTTATTATGGTGATGGGGATATGTGGTAGCTGAGAGTGGAGGGAAGTTTGGGGAGAATGGCAGCTAGATAATCTATATTTGAGAAGTGATGGCATCTTTCAAGTGTTTGGTTTATTTAAGGATTATGGGACTGGGAGGAATTCTAGATGTTGTAAAGAGAGAAACTCAGATTTTTTACGCCACATTCCTTTCTACCACAAAAGAGTGGGATAGCATAAGACTTGTGTTTTGGGGAAGTTTTGAGGGAGACACAGATTTTGGGGGAAAATCAATTTACAAATTACTGTGATTAATTTGATATGCATAATCCAATACCTTGAAAAAATAGTCCCATCTAAAAAAGGAGAGAAAAATAATCATTGATGTATAAGGGTGTTCCACAAATTGTGTACTATTTGTGTTCTAAAGTTTACAGGCTGATATCTGTAGGACCTGGGAGGAAAGTTAAGGGGACATTTTCCTTAAATCACCCCCTTTCTTGCAGATTAGACAACTGCAATCTCACCTCACATTGCTGCTGGGACCTGTCTACCCTTCTGACCTCTAATCAGAGCCTTCGGGAGCTGAGCCTGGGCAACAATGACCTGGGTGACCTGGGTGTCGTGCTTCTCTGCGAAGTACTCAAACAGCAGAACTGCTTCCTGAATACGCTGCGGTAAGCGTGCTTTGGAGAGATTTGTACAGTGGAGTTCAGAGTTCTCAGGAAAAATTGACCAGTTACCAAATTCCAGGTTGTACCTCCACCAGTTAGTACAGGTTAAAATTTTTTTTTTGTAGGGTACATGCATCATTAACTACATATTTAACTTCATCCAGGCATCTAGAATAATCAAGGTTCAGCTGGATGTGGAAAGACTTTCCGTCCATATTCCCAAAAGAAACACCAGTCCTAATGAAACTGGCCAAATAGGATTATATTTCTATGCAAGGGATTGTACTTTACAGAACTAGACAAGTCTACAATTCATTCCAGTTGAAAAGGTCTTTGCATGAAGCACATGTTGTTGGTCTTGTTTCTGAAGTTTCCTAAGTGGAGAAAGAGTGCTCTAGAAACATTGAGATAAGAAATTTCATAAAATTTAGCCTATCTGCAGTGTGTTTGGTGACCATTGTCTTCCTTCAGTCATTAACATTACCACCAAGGTACTCATGATCTCTCTGTTAAGGGCTATCTCGTTAGTCTCATAGCTTCTGTCAGCCCAAGTGATCAGCCAAATCAAGATTATTAGAAACTATACAGAACAAATGATCCAATTTATTTAATAATTAAGTTGCAAGGAAAATTTAAGAAAAGAGAAGGAAGAAGAATGTATACCAAAAAAGATGTAGGAGGCATATCACCTGAGTGCAATGTACGGACTTTATATGGCTCTTGATTAAATGAACATAGTGGAAAAAAGTTACAAGAAAATCAAGGAAATTTAAACATTGACTGGATATATGATCATATTTAAGGAATTAATGCTAACTTTTTTAGGTGTAATAATGGCATTGTGGTGTGTTTAAAAAAACCCTCTTAATTTAGTGTTACACAGTAAAATGTGTATAGGTGCATGGTATGTCTTTAAAATAAGCCATTGGTTGGAAGAGTGGGTGGAGCATAGATGAAATAAGATTGGCCATAAATTGTTAACTGTTGAAACTAGGTAATGAGCACATGCAAATTTACTATATTATTCTTTATACTTCTAGATATATTTTAAATCTTCCAAAATTGAAGGTGAAAAAAATTATAGAAACTGTATTGCGCATATAGCACAGAATTTCAGAGCTTAGAGGTTTATGAGGTTAAGGGAAATGCAATAAGATTTTTGAGGCTAAAAACTCGGTAGAAAATTTCTTTGAAGAGTACAACCCAAGTCTTTTTATTTGCTTTTACAGATTGTGTGAAATGTATTTCAATTATGAGACAAAATGTGCATTAGAAACACTTCAAGAAGAAAAGCCTGAGTTGACCATTGTCTTCGAGCCTTCTTGGTAGTGATGGAAGCAGGGCTGCCAGGCACCATGTTCTATAGCACCCATGTTCCACGTGCACACAAGTGGGAATGAATGTTTCTCCATCCAAGGTCAAGACCACAGCTCTGTGATTCTTCTGGCCCAGACTCAGAGAGTGAAAGCTTGCTGATGGTGTTTTTATGTAGGAGATTTGAACATCTTCTTTATCCTTAGGTTGAAGACACCATGGCAATAAAATCATTAATATCATATTGTTCCAATCATAGTGCCTCAGAGGATACTTTGCCTTGGTGGCCTTGTGTGATTAACTCATTCAATAAAGCACTTTTTCTGTCTTTCTTCTTCTCTTTTCACTCTTTCTAGTGCTCCTTTCCCTTCCATCTTTTTCCTTTCTTCTGTTTACTTTTGTTGATATTATCACTCCTGCCGTCTTTCTCTTAACTGACCATAATATAGAATGAGATAATTATGCATATGTTGCAATTTTGTGGCAGCACCTTATTTATTTTTAATTTTTCATAACATTAATATTTTCTAATAAAAATAATTTGTGTTTATTGTAGCTTGTTGGAGATACAAAAAATATTACAAATTTGTTGTGTTTATTGAGTATAATTGTTTCCTTTCCTCAATTTTAAAAGATTATGACAAGAACTCTTTATTTATTTAAACTATTAAAGATAAAATGAAATTGATTTATATAGTTTTTAAGTCTCTTTTCCAAATAATCCAACTGTAGTCAATGGAAAACAAAAAGCCCTCACTGTAATGCTAATGATTAGAATTTCAGCTTTGGTAGAATGGAAGGCGTACAGGGTCTTAGAGTACTAAATAGAGTATTATGCGGAAAATGCATTTTGTCTTTAATAGGTGAGAATTTATTTTGAGATTTATCTCGTCCCAAAACAGCTCATCTACAACACTTCCGTTAGCATTAATCATTAATCAATAGTGATCAGCTGTTTCTCTCTGCATGGGACAATTCCTGAGCCACATGGAATTGCTTGGAATGGAAATATTACTTCCTCTGCAAAATGAGGCCATCCAAACTCTGCTACTCAAAATATGGCTTATGAACTGTGGATAAGGAGCTTGTGCAGGAATGTAAGTCAATCACATCATTAAGCATACTTTTTAAGATAAGCCGACTGTTTTTTCATAGTAAGACTTTCTCAAAAAAGGAAGCAGTGTGTGATTTACATTCTGGTTCATACTCTTTGTCTTGTCTAGGACCAGCATTTTTGAATAGCGCTGATTTAGACATTTGCTTTCTACATCATGGTGAAGTTAGCTATTGAAGATTGCCTTCCTGCTACAAACACCTTGACATGCTGGGTAAAATATAATTTAAATAAACATAGCTGAGCTTGAAAGAGAGAAAGTGGAATCTCTGAGTACTAGGAACTTAAAAGTGTTCTGGTAAGCTTAAGAGTTTACGCTTTGGTGGCCCTGAGGAATATCTGAATGAAGACCCCATGGTATGACTATTTAGTTGGAAAAATCCTTGAGGTTATACATACTATTAGAACTAAAACAATGAGCAAAGTTGTTGGATACAAGCTCAATTTATAAAAATCAACAGCACGCAGTTGAAAAAGATTTGTTTCAACCATCATAGCAAAGATTGAATCAGGTACAAAGCACCAATGGATGCTAAATCTTGAGGGAAATTTAAATGAAGAGCAGGATAGTTGCATTGTCTTAAAATATCTCTCCACAGATGGCTAATCAGTTGCAAAAGAAAAAAAATAGTACCTACGTACTGTGCAGAAATTGGACAACACCTTGAGTATATAGTAAAATACAGCATCAACGAGGGCAAACGGACATTTGTCTCCACATAAGATGCCTCAAAAAGAAACCAATACCACCTATATAGGATTCCGACTGAAAATACATCAGACAAACTCCAGATGTGGAAATTCTATTAAAAAGGGATGGGGGACTATGTTCTCCAATACTGCCAATGTTACAAAAGGAAAAAAAAAAACAAAAAACAAAAAACTCTGAAAATATCCCAGGTTAAAGGAAGATTAAAAAGACATGACAACTAAATGCAGTACCAGACCTTGGTCTGGATCCTGAACTGGAAGGAAAAGATGCTATAAAAGCCATTCTTGGGTCAACTGACTAAATTGGAATATGGACAGTAGATCAGATAACTATTTTATTAATGTCAATTTATGGCATTTGATGACTAGGCTGTAGTCATATAAGAGAATATCTCTCAGTTAAATAATCACTGAAAGGTTTAAGAGTGAAGGACCATTCTGTATGCAATTTACCTCCAATTTTTTAAGCAAAATAAAGCATTATATATAAGCAGAGAGAGGGAGAATGCAAATGATAAAGCAAATGGGGTAAAAAATGTTGATAATGGGTAAATTTGGTGAGACAATAAGCATGTTCTTTATACTATTATTATTGTAACATTTTGTGCATATGGAATTATTTCAACATAAAAGTTAAAAGATTAAAATGATTAACAGTATTCCTAAAAATATTATTAATCATAACAATAAAATTTATAAGGTATCCAGACATTTTGCTGGGTGCTGAGGCCTCATTGGTGAACCAGATTAATCGGATCCCTGAAGTCATTTCACCAGACATGCTACACTCATTTATCCCAATGAGTCCTCACATCAATCTTATGAAGTAGGTACTGTTTGTATCCCCATTTTACAGAAGAGAAATTGAGGCTTAGAAAAGGCAAATAACTTTTCCAAAGTCATGCATCTAGAAAATAACAAAACCTGGATTTAAACCCTGGTAATCTGATTCCAGGGGCTCTGGTGTTACAGTGGTTAAGAGCTAGGCTGCTAACCAAAAGGTGGGTAGTTCGAATCCACCAGCCACTCCCTGGAAACCCTATGGGGCAACTCTCCTCTGTCCCGTCGGGTAGCTATGAGTCCAAATCACTCGACGGTAACGGATTTTGTTTTGTTTTGTTTTGTTTTAAATCTGACTCTAGAGTGAGATTCTGGGAGAAAAATATTAATTAAAGTCTTACAGCACACAGCTGATTAATTTAATTGCCATCAATAAGTTGTATGCCTGTAAAACGCTGAATTGGCTAAGAGTAGCTGCTGAGGCTGCTTATGTACAATAAAACATCACAAGGGATTTGGCTCCTTGGTTTAGAGGTTTAGGGTCATGGTTTCATGGGACGTCCCAGTTAATTGACCAAACAATGTGTTGAGTGCTTCTGTTCTACCTCCTAGTTTGTTGTGTAGTGCCTGGGGTCTTAAAAGCTTGCAAGTGGCCGTCCAAGGTACAATTGAACTCTATCTGCCTAGAGTGGCTAATTGCCTCTACGAACAACTTCCCCCTTTGTAATGAGACCAGAAGAACTGGATGGTACCCAGCAGCCACTACTGAACAGTTTAATCAAAGATTCTGTAGAAGAATCCTGATCAAAAGGAGGAAAATACAGAGCAGAACTTAAAATTCTTACGGAATCCAGATTTTTTGGAGCCATGGGGGCTGGATGAACCTCTGAAACTGTTGCCCTGAAATAATCTTTAACCTTAAACCAAAAATATCCCCTGAAGTCTTCTTAAAGCCAAAGAATAGCTTAACTAGTAAAGAATATCTGCCTTGAGCATTGTGCTCTTTTAAGTTCTGTCTATATGAGATCATCCAGAACTGTGAGGCAATAAATTTGTTGTTAAAAAAAAAAAAAGACTGACACAGTGGCTGCAACCATGGGATGAAGCATAGCAACAGTTGTGAGGATGGCACAGGACTGGGCAGTTTTGTTCTGGTGTACATCGGATCTTGCTATGAGTTGGAATCAACATGACAACACCTAATAACAACAACAAGACTTCTGGAATGTGTTTGGTCCATAGTAGGAATGCAATAAAAGATAGCTAAGAATAATAGTTGAAATAAAAAAAAAATTTATCCACATGGGATCAAATTGACAATAGCAACTTGAAAGAGTAGATAGGAAATTTAGGGGTCAGTGAGTTTATGGTTGTAAATATAACATCCTTCCCACAATCACTCAATTTTCTTAATTTCAAGAATAATCAATATTTACTGTTAACTCCCTGGGTTGGAGACTGAGTTACTCACCTTTGCTTCCGCATCTTTTCAGCTAGGACAGGCATGTAATGGCTTACAGGGTCACTTTTTCAATGACTGCCAAAAAATACTCGTCTCCCTGCCAAACAATTAGAACTGTTTGTTTAGCACTTGGAGCATTTTAGAGGAAAATGTTACGGTGGCATCCAGCAATTCTTACTTTCAAATACTTTTTTGGAGAGTGGAGGTAGGGTTCATTTTTTAAAATATCATTTTACTCACTTCAAATATTGGCTATATGTGATATTTTCCCTGCATAGCTAAATTTTCTTCAGTAAGTAGGTATCCTTTTTTACTGAAAAAAAGACATACCTGAAATAAATCTATCAAAAATTATGCAAAAGCCACAAAAAGAAGACCTAATTAAATGGAGAGCTATATCATATTTACGGATGGAAGTATTCAATAGCATGACAATGTCAGTTCCTTCTGCAATAATCTAAAATTCAATGTAATTATAATTAGCATACTAATTTTAGCATGGTGATTAAGAGCTTGTCTGCTAACTAAAAAGTCGGCAGTTCAAATCCACCAGCCACACCTTGGAAACCCTATGGGGCAGTTCTACTCTGTCATATAGGGTTGTTAGGATTTGGAATTGACTCAATGGTAACAGGTTTTCTTTTTTGGTTTTATATGGAAAAAAAGGGAGAGGGGCAAAGAATATCCAGGAATATTTTGATGACATGGGTGGACTCACTCTACTAGATATCAAGGCTTATCGTGGAACTATAATAACTGGTCAGTGTATATAAATAAGTTGCTGTTGATTCCATTCAGACTCACGGTGACTCCAGGTGTGTCAGAGTAGAACTGTGCTCCATAGGGCTTTCAATGGCTGATTTTTCAGAAGTAGATCTTCAAGCCTTCTTCTGAGGCACCTCCAGGTGGGCTCAAACCTCCAACTTTTCAGTTAGCAGCTTAATGAATTAATCATTTGCACCACCCAGGACCTCTCAGTGTAGTGGAGGCAGTATATAGCACAGAAGAGAGAGTTCATGTACATGCATTGGCATGTGTGGAAATGTGATATGTGACAGTCCCATTAAAAATGGTGTGGAAAGAAGGGCTAGTTGATGAATCTGCCTGGAACAAATGGCTATGCCACTGGAAAAATTATATATCTCTATCTCACATCATATAAGTATATCCCAAATGTATTAAATACATACTTTAAATGGAAAGCTATAAAACTCTTAGAAGAAAATGAGCAAATTATCTAAGATCTAACGTGAGGTACTACTTTTCTTGAAATAGACAAAATCCACGAACTATAAAGGAAAGCTTGATAAACTATATTAAAATTTTAAACTTCTGGATATTGTTTTAAAGATAAAAGATTAGCCTCAGCTTGAGCCCCTCTTGTGCCCCAGTTCCTGGTCCACAATTTACTCCAGGGGTTGCTGTGATGAGCAGCTGCTCACAGATGTAACATGGTAGTACCTCATATCTGTGGCACCACATATCATTCATGGCTTTTAGCTGTGGGGTTTCTCTGACACAGCATGGGATACTTGTGGAAACCACCCCATGCTGCCCAAACTGACAACACTAGGGGTCCAGTGCCCTATGGGGACACCGTTGACCCACAGGGTGAGAATCTTGGTAAACAATCCTCCTTTCTGAGTTGCACTTCATGCGCTTTTCAGAAGGCCCTGTTGGAATTGAGCCCCTGTAACTTATTTTAGATGTCATTGGTCATTCAATGTCAAAATTCTCACCTTCCATATAGGATACTTGAGTTATATTCCCGACCAATGAACCTCAAGCACAGCTACCACCCATGTGTCACCCAAGGCTTTTGTGTTGCTCTGATGCTGAACAGGTTTCAGTGGAGCTTCCAGACTAAGATGGACTAGAAAGAAAAACCTGCAACTCTACTCTGAAAATTAACCAATGAAAATCCTGTGGATCACAATGGCCCGATCTCTAACCAATCATGGGGATGGCGCAGGAGTGGCCAGCATTTTGTTTTGCTGTGTGTCTGGTTGCCATGACTTGGGGGCTGACTCCATGGCAGCTAACAAAAACAAGAACTTACTTCAGGGGTCAGTTTAATAATACTCCCTTGTATTTGCTTTCCTTCTTTTTGTGCTTACCCTTCCCTGTTATTCCAATCCTGTTCCCGAGGACTACTTTCCAAAATAATTTTCCTAAAAGAAAGCCTTTGTCTCAGGCTCTCTGGGAGAGACTCAGACTAAGCACTTGGCAATTTCCATTACTGAGAAAATAGCTCATTGCAAATAGTTGAAATTTAAGAGCCAGTCTACAAAATGAGAAAAGCACAGAAGTATGGTGTCTCGCAGCTGTCCTCCTACTGTCTCTAGAAGGGTGAGTTGAGTACACATCTCAGGAGGATGACCTTAGGAGATTGTATCACTCTGAGTATTATGGAATGGAGAATTTATTACAGAGGTAAGATGTTAAAAACTCTTGAGAAGTTCAGGATGTTAGGGGGTTCTGTCTTAGTCATCTAGTGCTGCTATAACAGAAATAACACGAGTAGATGACTTTAACAAAGAGAAATTTATTCTCTCCCAGTCTGGGAGGCTAAAAGTCTGAATTCAGGGTGCCAGTTCCAGGGGAAGGCTTTCTCTCTCTGTCAGCTCTGGAGGAAGGTCTTTCTCAGGGAGCATTGGAGGAGCAGAGAAAGTCCTGAGCAGCAGTGCAGATGAATAACTCTGAGCATGCAGGGGAAAATGGCAAGCCAGGCTTGTACAGCTGCTGGCATGGGACTGCAGAAGAGAGCTGGTAGAGAAGTCTGGACAGCTGCTTCCTCAGTGGAGGTGGTAACCTGGGGGTGTTGTTGGCTGGCAAGGCAAGGAGTTGGGAAGTGGAGCTAGATGTAGAGTGAGGAAAAGCCAGGACAAGCTGGAAGTCCTGGCACCTTTACATCTCTTATCTCAGTTACCC